ATATGTGTGTGTTCTGTGTATATTTATTATGTATATATAAATACACACACATACAGTATATATTTTGAAAATATTTACATGTATTTACATGTCTGTATTTATATTCATATAATTTATATTTTAAATAAATATATTTAATATATAAACATAACATATTTTTCTGAAATATATACATGCATGTGTGTGTATTTGTATATAAATAATAAATATACACAGTACACACACATATATTATGCAAAAAAACCTTTTCTTTTGGGTGCGATTAATCGCGATTAATCATTTGACAGCACTAATATATATACATATATATATATATATAGTTATGTTATCAGTGTTATGTTGACCAACATTGTTTGTGTCCTAGTATATTGATTAAAAACATGAAACTCTCAATATTTAAAGATGGAGATCATATTAGTTTTCTTAGATAACCATAGAAAAATTAAGTAAACATACAGTAAGATTGAATTTCCGTTTATTTTTCTACATCGTTTTGAGTGGATGTTTTGCTTTGCAATCTTTGCCAAGTCTTCCCGGGTTCTGTGCATTTAACTATAAAATGAAAAACCGGCAATTTATTAGGAAATGTTGCAGGTGTTTCTTAATATTGCCTTTCTTTAATAACATGAAATGCTTTCTTGAGAATATTGTTTTAATTGCTAATCATTGTATTAAGTCCTCAATATCACATTTCATTCTGTTAGTCTTTTCTCTGTAACTAACAAAAGCCTGAGGCCAGTGCAGCAAACCCATTAAGTTAGTAATAATAATTGCAAGGGAATGTTTTCTTACCCTAATGTGTTTGTTGCAACTGGCTGCAGGAAGAACCATGATAATTAGCAATAGAAATGATGAATTGCGTTTTGTGTTACATATCAAAATGAACTTCAGGTTGACACCCTCATGTAAGCTAACTGTGACTGTTAATGTTCTTGTTATTGTGTAATAGTCAAGTAATATTAGTTAAAATGCCTGAGTATGTATGACCAGAGTATCTTCTAAAACTCTGATATGCTGTTTATAGAAATACTTCTGTAAATTACAACACAAACATATTCATTTAAGTTACAAAAGGTACTGCTTGTAAACTCTGTAACAGGAACGACTTTTGACTGTGTGTTTGTATGTAAAGTATAATGAAGACTTTCACAGACCTTTCTTTCTTTCTTTCTCGTTCTGTTCTCACTGCTGTGTTTTTCTGCTGGCAGGGTTTTGAGGAAGAGGAGCAGGGCTCTTTCGATGTGAGCTTGACGAAGAACGCTCAGGGTTTAGGCATCACCATCGCGGGGTATGTGGGTGACAAAACCTCAGGTGAGCTTTGAATCATACACCGAATTGTATTAATAAACAGAACTGATGTGCAAACTCAACAAACTAGTGATTATTATATTAAGTTTCCGATGGCAATCACTATAATTATTGCTCAAGCCCACACTGTAAAAAAAAAAAAAATCTGTAGTTTTTACAAAATAATTTTGGCAGCTGTGGTTGCCAGAATAATTTTGTAAAAAACTACAGAAAAACTGTAAAAAGTTTTACAGAACAAAGTGTAAATTTTACAGAATAAACAAGAACATTTGAGTGTAAACTAGTAAATTCAACAATGCACACTGCTAGTAAAATCTGTTTTGTATCTTTAACATAAACTGACAACCACCATAATAATGCAGGTGGTAAAAGAGACAGCAATATGAAGAATCAGTTCATCACAAGTAGCTTTTCCACAAGCTGAAGTATATACTAATATATAGAAGGTGCGAAGAGTAGGCTTGCCGCGATAGACGGTGTTGACGGTGATACCGTTGTTAAGCCGCAACACCGGCTACGTCACTTGCCCACCGGGTCACCGACCCCCACCGTCGTTTTGATTTTTTTATAGTAATAAAAATCATTTAGTTCAGTAAAAGAACAGACACTACAATTAAAAACTGAATGCGGCTGCTCAATGCAGCGTGCCGAACGACAGTCGCATCACAGATCAGATTT